CTTATTTCGTTTTTATGTATATTATCTTTTGTGTAGTTTGTGTGTATTTAAATGAGTGTATTTTTGCATGTTAACATATTAATGCACGTAAAGTTTGTCACTATTTAAATTATAAAGGGGTAAATGCACTGATTTAAAAGGCTAAACTCAAAAGATGCAGACCAGAACAATATAGTTAAAAATATTGAGTTATGATGACTATGACTTATAAAGTATGACAGAGATGGGAAAAAAACACTTACAACATTATAAAACTAGATATCTGACCTGCTGCATGAGCTGATTAAACTAGTCTTAAGAGTTATGATTTTTGTCCTGGTCATTGTTTTGAAAGTCAAATACAACAAACAAACATTATAATTTGTACTCAGATTCAGTGCTGACTGGCTCACTGCTAGCTGGTCAAACTAGTCTAAATTCTTAAAACAACAAAATTAAAATACACTTTCTCAATTAATTACAGATTAATGAACTTACCGAGCAGTAAATAAAGGAAACACAAAGTGTTGAGATGCATTGTGGTCCTGCACACTCCAAACAGTCTCTTAGAATATGGAATAAATGTGGAATAAATCGTTTGTTCAGACGCGATTAGTGATTAAAGCTAAATTATTCAACTTAAAAAAGGTTTAGTGATTTTGGAAAGTTAAACAAGAGTGAAGAGCGAACATTTAAATCACGAGAAAACATTTACTATCTTATTTACTCTCTGGCTTTCCGGTTTGTAAGCCCTTCTTCTTTCTTTTTATAGCCACAATATTAAAATCGCCACGTGTTCTGTGGGTAACGTTATATTAGGAGACGTTTAGGTGAAAAACGCTCCTACGTAAATTGAGTGTACTGTTTGATTAAATGAGGCGGGCTGCAGGTGGCGCTGCGGAGCTTTGAGATCTGCCAGTAAATGTAAACAAGAAGAAGAGCCGATGACCGAAAGAAAGGTTAGTTATCCATATAAAACTAAACAAACCCTTCAAAATCATTTAAAAAACATGTTTAAATGCGCTTCAACAACACAATTAAAGTGTTGTGGTTTTAGTTATGTGACATAAACGCGGTTTATTATGATTGAGTTATAGTTTAGTGGAGATTTCTGTTATTTACGGTCTTTATTTACATGTAACAGTGCTGTAGTGATTAATCTGCTGTGCTAATATAAACCAATATATAAACACATGAGACAATACTGGAGGTTTCTACATCTGCAGTGTATATTATACTACAATACACCACTGTTTACTGTGGTAAATAAGTATACTACAGTATTTATTATAGTTTATAGTCAGTAGTTAACACTACAGTATGCTGCAGCATTCATTAAGAGGTGTAGATACTATAATATATACAGTATAATACACTTTACTATAGTACTATAGTTGAATTTTGAAATTAGTACTATAATTTAAACTTTTTAATTTGAGTTTTAAAGCTTTTTTTACAGAACAACCCTATATATCCCTAATTAAACCTTCCCTCCCCTCATCTATAATAGAAATAATAATAACCAAAAAATACAGAAATAATCATAACAATAATCATCATAATAATAAATAAATAAAATAATGTAATATTTTGTTGTGGTAATGCCCATTTAGAGGAATCATTTGTACTTCAAATTACATTGAAGATAGGTTAAATAACGTGTACAGATATCTGCTTCAGCTTAGTCCCTTTATTCATCAGGTGTCGCCACAGCAGACTGAACCGCCAACTATTCCAGCAAATGTTTTTACACAGCGGATGCCTTTCAAGCTGCAACCCATCACTGGGAAACAGTCATATACACTCATTCCCACACACACACACACACACATACACACTCATACACTACAGCCAGTGTAGTTGATCAGTTCCCCTATAGTGCATGTGTTTGGACTGTGGGGGAAACCGGAGCACCCGGAGGAAACCCACACCAACACGGGGAGAACATGCAAACTCCACACAGAAACACCAACTGACACAGCTGAGGCTCAAACCAGAGACCTTCTTGCTGTGAGGCCACAGTGCTAACCACTGAGCCACCACCGTTGCTATTAATAACAATATCAGTAGTATAATCCTCTTTTAAAATTTGCTTTAGACCCACAACTGAATGTAGGGGTGTTCCTACATCTAATATCTTGTCTATTTCTTTTATTTTAACATTATCCTAAAATTCTATGATCTTTTAGCAATCCCAAACAATACGTGTATGATCTCCTATATACTGTCATTATTTGTCTGTGAGTTAAGCACATCCATGTGTGAGAAACTCTGAGATTAATGCTTGATTTGTGTTTGTCTTTCATTGTTTGCAGTGTGTTTAGAAGGCTGAAAGATGGACATAAAGATGGAGAGTATTAAAGAGGAGACTGAAGACGCTGAAACACACACAGTAAAAGAGGAAGAAAACGAGGAACAGATAGGTTTGTGATCATAACTGAGACTCGCAGTTTAATACAAGTCAAACTCGGTCATAATTCTGATTTATTAACAAAATAATAAATGGTTTTGAGTTTGAGATATAAGCCTGCCACAAATATAAGTACATTTTAAGTCTGAAACGACCCATAAAAATCATCATCATATACAAATGAAGACAAAAAATAATATTAATTAGTTTAATTTTTTTTTTTAATTTTACTTATTTGATTATTTTGTAATATTACTTAAAATAAACATGATTTGCAGTGTCTCACTTCAGCTCATGCTGCTATAATATCCATCTAATTTAGCCAAATGTATTACTCTTATTTATTTTAGTTTTTTAAAGTCTTCTATTGTTGTTGACATTAATAAATGTCAAAAATGGACAATATTAAATAAACAGAAAAAATAGATAAATAATTAATTGAAATAATAGTACAATTTATTATTCTCATTTATAAAATGTGCTGTAAGTTTTCAATTATTGTTGACATTAATAAATAAGCAGAAAATGAATGAATGTATTTAATAAGATTAAATAAATGAATTAGAATAACAATAATAAAATGTATTATAAATATTTTGTGAAATGTTTTCTATTATTGTTGACCTTATTAAACAGAAAAAATAGATACATGAATAATAATAATAATAAAACGTATTCTTATTTATGAAATGAACTTTTTGTTTTTATTGTTGTGGAAATTAATATATAAACAAAAAAATAGATAAATTCATGAATTATATTTAAAAAAATAATAATAATAATACAATTTATTATTCTTATTACTGAAATGTACTTTTAGGTTTTCTATTACTGTTGACTCTATTAAATACACTGACGAACAGATAAATGAATGGATTATAATTCTAATAATAAAATGTGTTATTCTTATTTATTTATTCTGTCTGTTATCACCCGTAAAATGTAAGAAAAAGTAAAAATAAAAACAGTACGAAGCAATTGAGTGCGAATCATTACCTTCTTTTTTATTCTTATTTATGAAATACTTTTTTGTTTTCTGTTGTTGTTGAGATTAATAAAAAAATCAATGAAGTAGAATAGTAATAATATTAAAATTTATTATTCTTATATATAAATTGTACTTTTTGTTTTCTATTATTGTTGACGTTATTAAATAAATAAATAAACATAAATAATAGATAAATTAATAAATTTGAAAAATAATAATAATAATGACATTTATTATTCTTGTTTTTGAAATGTATTTTCAAGTTTTCTATTATTTGTTGACCTTAATAAACAGATAAATAAATTAATTAGAATAACAATAATAAAATGTATTATTCCTATTTATGAAATGTACTTTTATTTTTTCTATTATTGTTGACATTATTACATAAACAGAATTTTTAAAAATTAAATTATAATAAAATGTATTTTTATTTATGAAATGTTCTTTAGTTTTCTATAGCTGTTGACATTAATATATGAATAAACAAAAAATAGATAAATGAATGAATTAAAATCATTAATACAATTTATTATTCTTATTTATGTACCTTTTACGTTTTCTATTATTAATGACATTAATACATAAACAGGACTAATAAATTAGAATAATGCTCAAATTTATTACTCTTATTTATGAATTATTTCTTATTATTGTTGACATTAAAAAAGCAAACTGAAAAAACAGATGAATTTATTAATTAGCAAAATAATAACAATAAAAATATTTAATATTCTTATTAACGAAATGTTAATTAATTAATGTTAACTTATTAATGAAAACTTTTTAATATTGTTGACAGTAATAATTAAACAGAAAAAAATAAATAAATTAGAAAAAATAAAAATGTATTATTTCTAATTATGAAAAATGCTGTTTTGTTTCCTATTATTGTTGACGTTTGAAATTTTTTTTAATTTAATATAGACCTGATGCGAGTCAAAGAGGAAACTCCAGACCTGATGGAAGTAAAAGAGGAAGGTCAGGATCAAAACCCCCTCGATTCTCCAATAACAGAAGTAAAAACAGAACAAAAAATCCATCTCGAACAGTCGACAGACAGACCGTACGCATGCGATCAATGTGGGAAGAGGTTCACTCTAAAAAAGTGTCTTAAATCTCATATAAACACTCACACTGGAAATAAACCGTACGCTTGCGATCAGTGCGAGAAGTGCTTTACAGCTCAATCCAGTTTAGAGAGACACATGCTGATCCACAGCGGAGAAAAGCCCTTTAAATGCGATCAATGCGGCCGGAGATTCACATACAAAAATGATCTTAAAATCCACAAGTACTGTCACAGCGGAGAAAAGCCTTTCAGATGCACTCAATGCGGCAAGAGTTTCACTTTAAAGAAAACCCTCAAGTCCCACATTAAAACACACTCCCAAAATAAGCCATATACCTGTGATCGATGCGGAAAGAGCTTCATATATCAGTCCAGCATCGAAAGACACATGCGCATACACACCGGAGAGAAGCCGTTTCAGTGCGATCAATGCGGAAAGAGCTTCATCGATAAAGTAAACCTCAGAAATCACATGCAGATTCACTCCGGATTAAACTCTGTGAGCTGTCCTCAATGTGGGAACATTTTGAGGAGTAAAGCACACCTGAAAATTCACATGCGCATCCACACCGGAGAGAGACCGTACGTCTGTGTGCAGTGCGGGAAGAGCTTTTCCAGAAGCGGAGCGTTGAAAATACACATGCGCATTCACACCGGAGTCAAACCGTATTCATGTCAGATCTGCACAAGACGCTTCACATATCAAGGAGACTTCAGGAATCACTTAAAGATTCACTCGGGAGAGAAGAAGTTCAAGTGTTCGCATTGCGACATGAGGTTTATCAGGAAGAGCTGTTTGAATAGGCACGTTCACTCCTCACACGGCTTCAAGTGTGATTATTGCGGAGAACATTTCCTCGAGGATTCACACCTGCAGGTTCACCTCAGAGAGCATTCGGATGCGCGGCCGTTTGTTTGTAACGTGTGCGGCAGGAGTTTTAAGAGGCTGGGGAATTTGTCTGCGCATCAGGAAACTCATGTCGTGCTGACGCCCTTTGCTGAGGAGCTGAAACTGCGCAAGAGATTGTATGCGGAGGAGAAATGCGGCACGGGTTCGAGTTTGGCTGTGGCAGGAGTGCTGAACACACAGGAGCGAGCGCAGAACGCGACAAAGACATACGACTGTCCTTCATGCGGGATGAGCTTTGGTAGTGGTATCTTTCAGCTGGCGCATATGAAGAAGCACTGTCTGAAGCGGAAACAGGCAGAGGGAACGTAAAAAGTGCTTATATTACATGATGGAGAGCTGGGCTGAACCGAAGGTATCAGAGTCGAGGGTATCAGTCGACGATAACAGTCGACGGTGACAAAGTTGACAGTGACAGAGTCGACGATGGCGGGTTACGTTAAGAGAGTTGACTAAAACAGAGTTAACAGTGACAGAGTCGACGGTGACAGAGTCAACAGTATCAGAGTCGACTAGGACAGAGTCGACGATAACAGTCGATGGTGACAAAGTTGACAGTGACAGAGTCGACGATGACGGGTTACATTAAGAGAGTTGACTAAAACAGAGTTAACAGTGACAGAGTCGACGAAGACAGAGTCGACGGTGACAGAGTCGGCGGTGTCAGAGTCGGCGGTGTCAGAGTCGGCGGTGTCAGAGTCGGCGGTGTCAGAGTCGGCGGTGTCAGAGTCGGCGGTATCAGAGTCGGCGGTATCAGAGTCGGCGGTATCAGAGTCGGCGGTATCAGAGTCGACGGTATCAGAGTCGACGATAACAGAATCGACGATAACAGTCGATGGTGACAAAGTTGACAGTGACAGAGTCGACGATGGCGGGTTACGTTAAGAAAGTTGACTAAAACAGAGTTAACAGTGACAGAGTCGACGAAGACAGAGTCGACGGTATCAGAGTCGACGTATCATAATCGACCGTATCAGAGTTGACAGTAACAAAGTTGACAGTGACAGAGTCGACGATGACGGGTTACGTTAAGAGAGTTGACTAAAACAGAGTTAACAGTGACAGAGTCGACGAAGACAGAGTCGACGGTGACAGAGTCGACGATAACAGAATCGACGATAACAGTCGATGGTGACAAAGTTGACAGTGACAGAGTCGACGATGGCGGGTTACGTTAAGAAAGTTGACTAAAACAGAGTTAACAGTGACAGAGTCGACGAAGACAGAGTCGACGGTATCAGAGTCGACGTATCATAATCGACCGTATCAGAGTTGACAGTAACAAAGTTGACAGTGACAGAGTCGACGATGACGGGTTACGTTAAGAGAGTTGACTAAAACAGAGTTAACAGTGACAGAGTCGACGAAGACAGAGTCGACGGTGACAGAGTCGGCGGTATCAGAGTCGGCGGTATCAGAGTCGACGATGACTGTTTATGTTAAGTGAGTTGACTTTAAGAGAGTTGATTACAGAGTCGACAGTGACTAAGTCGACGGAGACAGAGTTGACGATGACAGTTTATGTTAGGTGAGTTAACTTTAAGAGAGTTAATGATAACAGAGTTGACAATAACAGAGTTAACACTAACAGAGAGTCGACGGTATCAGAGTCATCGGGATCAAAGTCGACGATGGTATCAGAGTCGTCGGTAACAGAGTCTACAATGACAGAGTTTACATTAAGAGAGTTGACTAACAGAGTTCACAGCAACAGTGTTGACGGTAACAGAGTTGACAGCATCTGAATTGTCAAGTCAAGTCAAGCTTTATTGTCATTCCGCTTCATGTGTGGACATACAGTGGAACCAAATGTCAACAATAACAGAGTCACGGTGACAGAACTGAACTACTTTTCATATCTCATGATGGAAATCTGCTGTTGTCATATGAACACATTAATCAAGAGTCATCAGACGTCTTTCAGAATTGTAGGCACATTTCAAGAATGTTTCATTCCTATTTTTCTTCAACTGCAGTGATGTGCAATAAATGTACATTTCTGTGAATAAATAACTGTTTGATTAGCAGCATTTTCTTTTCTTAAGAAATACCAATAAGGCCTGTGATTTATGTGTTTGACATGTATTGACTGTTAAGAGGAGAGTGTTAAAATTAAACTACACTTTTAGGAAATCTCCGGTCAAGCATTATCTGATGAAATGAAATAGACTTTTATTTTGTATTATTTCTTATAGCATATTAAAACATAACAATGCAAATACACATTATTACCATCAGTACACATTATTACAGGGAGAATAGAACAATAAAAGCCACGAGTAACAAAAAGAAATATTGTTTATGTGTCTATTTCAAATTTGCCAATAATATTACAAGTCCTGACAGCTTTTTGTGATTCAAATTTAAATACCATATTGCAAGACTGCTTAAATTCGTTGATAAACTGGACAATAATAATAATAATAGGTTTATAAGTCGACAATTTCATCATTTGGAAGAAACTTCGCTATTACAACCAGTAATAAAATATTGTAGGTTTTTAAATAATTTTCAATATCGCAATCATTTACATATCATTTTAACAGACCCGCCTACTTTGACAGATATATTAAGTTTGCTTGTAATTAAGTTCTCAACAACAGTGCAGAAAATATTTGTATAAATGCAATGGAAAAAAGATATTAAAAAATAGTGTATTTATCGTTACCACAAAAATTCACAGTAGTCTATAGTAAAGAGACTTTTATTATTGTTTGGCTGCAGGACGTCATGACGTCACCAGAAGACGGCGCGTGCGTCTGCTGTTGCTGTTGTGAGACAGGTTTGTGCTTTTGATCGCTTCAGTTTTCATCAAGACAATTTAACATTAATTATTCTCAGAGGCTTTGATAAGTGTGCTCCTGTAACACGCGAGTCCTTTTCAAGCCATTGTGTGTGGATAAAGTAGAAAAGGTAGATTATTGCCGAGTGTAATGTGATGGTTTGAGGCCTGTAAACATCAATAACGAGATTAATAACTCACTGAATTAAATTATTCATATCTTACATTATTGTCTACATTTAATTTATTATTTATATGAGTAGAATTTACAGTTAGTGTCCTCCTAAAGTGTGTCTCACCACATATAAAACAGATAAACTTTAATAAATACTGCAGTATTATATAGTTTTACTACAGTAAACTGCGGTGTATTGTAGCATAATATACTCCATAACTGTAGAAAACTACGGTATCGGGTCGTTTGTTTATATAACTATAGTTATTGTCACCATAGCAACTGTAGAATCACCACAACAGATCAGTTGAAGTTTACTGTAAAATGGTTTAAAACACTGCAGTATTCACTATAATGGTCTATGGAGCTTGTTGCGTCAGTGTTGTGTGATATATTTGGTTTTAAAGTTGTTTGTAAATTATTAAAGTGTGAACAGATTCTGATTTCTTAAAGAAAGTAAAGTAAGTTTCATATAAAGAGGTTGAAATACAGCGATTATTTTGACAATTTGACATTATTAATAGTTAAGCATCTATTAAATCTGGAATTAATCCTTTTTCAGTATTTTTAACTGTAATCCTTATAAAGATGCACAGCTGAGTGTGTGTGTGTGTGTGTGTGTGTTTGTGTGTGTGTGTGTTTCTGTCCTGATTTATTCTTGATTATGTCAATTTGACTCTGCAGACCTGAACTTCCACAGCATCACATGACCTTGATTGACATCTGCAGTGAAGCTCCGCCTACAGTGTTTCAGACTCAGAAGAACAGGAATAATCCTGTTACACACACACACACACACACACACACACACACACCTGAAGAGATGGACTTTGTGCGAGTGGTGATTGGAGACGTGAGCGATCCACAACCATTCAGAATATTAAAGGATGACCACAACGAACCAAGAGGTGTGTGTCCTACTGTGCTTCTGTTTGCCTGGTATAGATATACATCATATATGTATTATTGACACTGTTCATAATCTATCCAGCCATCTATCTATCTTTTTATCCATCCATCCATCTCTCTCTAGATTCAATTATCCATCCATTTTTTATCCATCCATCTATATATCCAATCATCCATCCATCCATTTATGTCAGTCATCCATCTGTCATGATCTATTCAATCATTCATCTATCCATCCGTCTATACATCTTATCATCCATCTAACTATCTTTTTGTCCATCCATCCATCTAAATATCCAATCATCCATCTATGTTTTTATCCATCAATTCATTCATCAATCTATCTATCTATCCAATCACCCATCTATTCATCCATCCATCTATTTACCAGATCATCTATCTATGTCAGTCATCCATCTATCTATCTTTTTATCCATCCACCCATTCATCCATCCCTCCATCTATCTATATATATCCAATCATCCATTCATGTCTTACCCATCCATTCATCCATCTATCTATCCAATCATCCATCTATTAGTCATCTATCTATCCATCCATCCATCCATCCATCCATCCATCCACCCTTCTATCCATATCTATGTATGCAATCATCCATCCATGCATAAAATTCCAGAAAAACAGGAAGCTTATTCCGTTGAACATAAAAGAAAACATTTTGAAGAAGGTTAGAAACCTGTAACCATTCACTTACATTGTATTTGTTTTCCTACAATTGAAGTCAATGGTTACAGGTTTCCAGCATTCTTCAAAATATCTTGATTTTTTGTATATATATATATATATATTTGTTTGTTTTTTTTACCTGTCAAGCATTTAAATTTTCATTGCTTATTTTAATTTTCAAAGAAAAAAGATGATTTTGATCAATGGCTACAGTTGTCCAACATTCTTCAAAACATCTCATTTTGTGTTCAACAGAATAAAGGTTTAAATCAAGTAAAGGATGAGTAAATATGGATTTATGAGTGAACTATCTCTTTAGAAAGTGCAGTAAAATATCGTGAGTTTTCATATCCTCCTTTTATTTTCAGACCGAGTGGAGATTAAAGAGGAAACTCAGGAAGCGGATGAAGCCCCGCACACATTATTAACCCCAGAAACACCCAAACGCACAGAGAAAGCCTCTCTCATCTGCTCCCACTGCGGAAAGAGCTTCAAACAGAAAGGCCATTTGGAGGATCACATGAACACACACACCGGAGACAAACCGTACGCGTGTGTGCAGTGCGGGAAGAGCTTCACACACAAGGGGAACCTGAAGGACCACACGCGCATACACTCCGGCGAGCGGCGCTTCGGCTGCCAGCAGTGCGGGAAACGCTTCACACACAAAGCCAACCTGACCGATCACTCGCGCATACACACCGGAGAGAAGCCGTTTGCGTGCGCACAGTGTGGGAAGAGCTTCACACACGCCACCAGCCTGAAAACACACCGCCTATCACACACCGGAGAGCGCGCGTTCAGCTGCGAGCAGTGCGGGCAGAAGTTCCTCTTGTCTGCTCACCTGAAGAGGCACCTGAAGATCCACAGTGATGAGCGGCCGTACGTCTGCTCCTTCTGCGGGAAGAGCTTCTTATGGCTGTGCTACTTTAAAGACCACCAGAAGAAGCACGCGGGGGTGAAGGCGCATGTGTGTGTGGATTGCGGCGCTGCGTTCACTAGAGCCAGCGAGCTGAAGATGCACCAGCGCATACACACCGGGGAAAAACCATACAGCTGTTCACACTGCGGGAAGAGCTTCGCTGAGTCTGGAAACCTGAAGAAACACCAGCGCGTTCACACGGGGGAGAAACCCTTCCAGTGTCCCGCGTGCGCAGGCAGATTCAGCCAGTTCAGTCATTTACTGAGACATGTGAAACAGCAGAGCTGCCGCAAGATCACCGCGCTGACACACTGACACCAAACTGAGCATCAGTCTGCCAAATCCAGACCCGTCTGACCTTCTGTCTGCTGAACATTATGAAGATGCCAGCGCTGAGCCACTAACACACACATTACACAGGATGAGCTGTCATGCAATCACCTCACAGCAAGAAGGTCTCTGGTTTGAGTCTCGGCTGGGTCAGTTGGCGTTTCTGTGTGGAGTTTGCATGTTCTCCCCGTGTTGGCATGGGTTTCCTCCGGGTGCTCCGGTTTCCCCCACTGTCCAAACACATGCGGTACAGGTATAGTGAATGGGTGTGTATGGGTGTTTCCCAGTGATGGGTTGCAGCTGGAAGGGCATCCGCTGTGTAAAACATATCCTGGATAAGTTGGCGGTTCATTCCACTGTGGTGACCCCTGATTAATAAAGGGACTAAGCCGAAAAGAGAAAGAATGAATGAATGAATGAGCTGTGTTCATTAGGCTGGCGCTGCATGTTTCTATGTGGAAAGTGTAAATATGCACAAATCCAGTGTGGATATATATTTGCCAATAGCTAATATTAATAATTCTAATTTTATATATACAAAAGAAGCATTTCTGTTATGTTACATGCATGTGTAGGATTAGCCGAACATGCACTGTATTTTCATTTCTGACTATATTGATTGTAATATTCAGTAAGGCTCATGTTCCATGCAGACATTTTGTAAATGTTTAATTGTAAGTACATTAAAGCTTAATGTTTAATTAAGTGATGTGCATTGTTAAGAGCTTCAGTTGTTTAACTTTAAAGGTGATTTACTCACTGTTTGGACTTTTCTGAACTCTCACACCATGTGTAAACTACCAGCGAAACGATTCCAGCAAAAGTACACAGTGACAGAAACATTTAAAGGGTCAGTTCACCCAAAAATTCAGGAGTTTTCCTTCTGTTCAATATAAAAGAAGATATTTCGAGGAATGTTGTCAACCTGGTAACCATTGACTTCAGTGGTATCTGTTTTTCTACTATGGAAGGGCTGCAGAGGCCGATTCAGCCAGTTCAGTCAGTGACCCACAAACACCTTTTACAGGGTAAAGTGTGTTTATTATTCATAAAAATCATAATCTTAAGCGAAACACAAATACTTTTTCATTGACAATGCATTATACTGTACACTGCAAAAAAACTAATTTTACAGTTTATTTTCAGCAGCTGAGGTGACGGAAATAAACCGTAAAATAACGGCTGTTAAATTTACTGTAAAATAACAGAGGTTGAATTACAGAAGTTTACCAGAAATTTATATAAATATCTGTAATGTCCATTATTTTACAGTAAATTTCTGTAATTTAACAGCCGTTATTTTACGGTTTATTTCCGTCACCTCAGCTGCTGAAAATAAACCGTAAGATTACAGATTTTCTTTTAACTGTATAGATATCACTTTTTTAAAAGGACTATATATATATATATAAAGAAAATAGAGGCATGGCATATTTACTTGCTGGTTGGTCTTCTTAATCTTCTGGACCTTAAATCCAATCACATGACCTTTATTCTGCCTTATTCCGTTGTTATGATGTCAGAAAGTGCATCCGGTATGTTTTTTTTTTTTGTTTTGTTTTGTTTTTAAACGCCATTAATGCTGTTATCTCTGCTGTCTTATGTTATGTCTTGTCTTCATATCTAGCTCTAGTCGTTTAGTGTGTGTTTCGCTCATTCCTCCAGTTCAGCAGATGGCGCTGCTCTGCTTCAGCTTTAACCGCGAATAACAACACGGAGAGGAAGAAACAACCGCTGCAGTCGCTGTTGTGTGGTGATTGCTGGATTTAGGTAAATTATATTATTTATAACCGATATTATATTATTCTCTTAATAATATTTGCAGTAATGTTTGTACCATACTGTTTCTGAGAGTAATAACGTGCATCTGAATCAATAGTTCAGCAGTCGGAGATGTGTCCAGTCTCAGTAGTGTTTTGCTGACGGAGATAAACAGCGGTCATGTCTGCACTGAGGAGGCTTTATTAGTGTAAATGTGCTGTTTTGTGAGTCCTCCTGATAACTATTTCACACCGGGCTGCCTCACAGACGGCTCTCTTCAGCACTGCAGACTGATTATAAAGCATCATCTCGAGGACAACATCAGCTCCAGACACGGTGAGTGAAAATGATGCTGTTCTAAGTGTTCTGTTATAATTTCTATAATAAAACATCTAATATGTAAATATGTATTCATTCGTTATGGATGTGAGTGTATATGTACACTCACCGACCACTTTATTAGGTACACCTGTCCAACTGCTCGTTAATGCAAATTTCTAATCAGCCAATCACATGGCAGCAGCTCACTGCATTTAGGCATGTAGACATGGTCAAGAGGATCTGCTGCAGGTCAGAGCGAGCATCAGAATGGGGAAGAAAGGGGATTTAAGAGACTTTGAACGTGGCATGGTTGTTGCTGCCAGACGGGCTGCTCTGAGTATTTCAGAAACTGCTGATCTACTGGGATTTTCACACACAACCATCTCTAGGGTTTACAGAGAATGCTCCAACAAAGAGGAAATATCCAGTGAGCGGCAGTTCTGTGGGCGCAAATGCCTTGTTGATGAGGCCAGAGGTCAGAGGAGAATGGCCAGACTGGTTCCAGCAACAGTAACTTAAATAAGCACTCGCTACAACCGAGCTCTGCAGAAGAGCATCTCTGAACACACAACACGTCCAACCTTGAGGCGGATGGGCTACAGCAGCAGAAGAGCACACCGGGTGCCGCTCCTGTCAGCTAAGAACAGGAAACTGAGGCTACAATTCACACAGACTCACCAAAACTGGACAATAGAAGATTGGAGAAACGTTGCTGCTCTGATGAGTCTCCATTTCTGCTGACACATTCAGATGCTCGACTCACAATTTGGCCTCAACAACATGAAAGCATGGATCATCCTGCCTTGTATCAGCGGTTCAGGCTGGTGGTGGTGGTGTAATGGTGTGGGGGAGATTTTCTTTGGGTCCATTAGTACCAATTGAGCATCAACGCCACAATAATAATAATTTTAAAAAATTTGAAAAATGCATTTATTCAGCCAAGATGCATCACATGCAAAATAAAATAAAACAAACATCCCAAACTGTGATCTCTGCCATTGCATTAGCACCTTTATATCTATAGCTGTCATGTGTGCTTTATACTACTTTCAAAAATGTCTTTAAGTTAGAAATGCTAAAGGCAAAACTGCATTTTTTTTTTCATTCATTCATTCATTTTCTTGTCGGCTTAGTCCCTTTATAAATCCGGGGTCGCCACAGCAGAATGAACCGCCAACTTATCCAGCAAGTTTTTACGCAGCAGATGCCCTTCCAGCCGCAACCCATCTCTGGGAAAAGCTTCATTTTCCTGTCTTCATTTTCAGTTGGTAGATCTTGATTGTCTGCAAGGCTGAGGTTTGAGATTATTGGCTGAAAAAGGTTGGAGATCACTGCGGTAGATTAATGTGTGCTGGATCTTTTCCCCTCAGATGTGGAGCTGTGACGGTGTAAAGAAGATTATTAAAGAGGAGCAAGAAAACACAGGAGACACTGAGGAACACAGAGGTTGGAGATCTTTAATCCTTCATTAATGACAGATTTCCAGAATCAAATGCCCTGTTTACACTAATACATTTTAGTTTAAAGTAAAATGAACACATGATATAAGGAACTGCTATTTTCATTTGATATTAACAACTTAACAGACAGCAGAAATGTTGTGGCGTCGTGTAGCTGCATATTTATATGAGCGTCATCTTCACTGTGTGCATGTTTATAACAAAACAGAGCCGATAACATCACTGCCTCCTTTCATGTTCAGTGATAATATGAAACATTCCCTCTCTATTGCTGAATATCAGTTTAATAATCAATAATGGCCTTTTTAAAAGTGTAACGTACAATAACTTTATATATTATAGCAAATAAAGGCAGGCAGTCAGACAATGTGCGGAATCAGTGTCTGCGGTTACATTCATTAATATATTAACTGATCTTTGCGCTCAGCCAAAACACGTTACCTGAGAACAAGTCATAGATTCAGAAGACCAAAGTCGGGTCTTAATTAATTAAATATCACGCTTAACAAATATAATAAGATTAAATCCAGCGGGAGATTCTTGATGTCCGATGTGTAGCTCTCAGCGCTGCAGTGCATGCCGGCGTGTGTGTGTGTGTGTGTGGTCACGTGATGTGCGTTTTCCGTGGTGTAATGTTGACGGAGAGTTGTTCAGAAACACTAGGTGAAACACAAGTGTGGACGCGGATCACTTTCATTCTAAAAGGCCGTTTTAAAGGGCCATGAAACGCCCTCGTTTCAGCAGGGTGTTTTCACACCTCTACTTCGGGAAAAGTCAGAAAAGTGGGCGTGTCCAGCTCTGTTTAGGGGGGAGTGTCGGAGGAACTAAAGTGAGAGGGTGTGGGAGTGTCTATTTGGGCGAGCGCGAGTTTCAGAGTCAAAACACACACACACACACACACACACACACACACACACACACACACACACGGGAGAAAGTGATGGTGTTTAACCTACATGGACATCTGTAGTCGAATTATTTGCCAAATGATTAAATGTTGGACTTTAACAGCAGTTTGGCTCTTTCATTCAGGGAATTCATTCAT